CTCTGTTTTGGTGTGGCGGGTCTGCGTGGTGCCTGGAATAATGCAGAGCCCTTGCTCTCGGCTGGGGTGGGGCCCCTCGGCGAAGTATCACAAACGCCTGGCTGGGTTACAACCCCCCCGGCTGGTAAATCGCCCCCCCAGGCCTGTGGTTGGGAGGGGCGCCCTGGTTCGAAATGATGCAGCAGTTTCCTGTCGGGTTCTCGCTCCGGGGGCTTTGCCTCCGAAAGGCCTTGGCCTAAGGGGTAGGAACCTGATGTTTGTGAGTTGTGGAGCGAAGTGTAGTGGTTAGAGCAGGGCGGGGCTGGGAGCCGGGACTCCTGGGTTCTCTTCCCGGCTCTGCCTAAGTGCCCCACGGTTTGGCATTTGTCCGTTAGCTCTCGGCGGTGGCCCTGCCAGAGGATTGGCTGCTTTGCCCTTTGTGGTTTCTCACAATCTTGACATGGGTGTTATGCAACCTTCCCCCCCCCCCCCCCCCCCAAGGCTGGACTGGCTGGGCCCAGCTGAGTCTCTGACCGCACCGGGGGAGGCGGACGTGGCATTCTGGTCCCAAAGAGCCTGTGGAACTCTCAGCACCCGCCTCAGCATGTGGCAGGGAGTCAGGAATCCTGGCTTCCAGTCCCAGTTCTGGTTTGGGGTCCGGTGGGTTAGAGCAAGGGGTCCTAGGAACCAGGACTCCTGGGTTCTCTCTCCAGCCATTGGGGATGATGGGGAAAGTCCCGTTGCCTTACTTCCTGCATAAAGGACAGCACTATGGAAGCTCTATGTTCCTGTGCCCTCCAGTGGCTGTGATGGGAATTGCTCCCCTGTGTGTCCTATACCCTATACTGCTGACTGGAAAATCGCCTCCATCCCACGTGCTGGGGGCCACGCTCTGCAGGGTACAGGGGTCTGAAGCCAGTTCTCCCCCAATCCGTCACCGTGTGGACTAATGCTCCCCCTCTCTTCCCCCCAGCAGCTCTTCCCAATGTGAATCCGGCTTCCGACTCTGTTGTGGGGGGAGAAAGGCCCAGCAGCCTCATCAGCACCCGTGCTCAGCTAGCAACCCGGACAGACGGGCGCCCGCAGATCCCCCACCCTCGGAAATCCCCCAGCCCCCAGCGCGCTCAGACCCACAAGCCACTGCCGTCTGGGTGAGAAATGCTTGGGGTATGGGGGGAGAGTACACATTGATGGCTGGGGAGAGAACCCAGGAGTCCTGGCTCCCAGCCGCCCGTGCTCTGAGCCACCGGCCCCCACTCCCCTCCCACAGCCGGGGACAGAACCCAGGAGTCCTGGCTCCCAGCCCCCCCCCCCAACCCACCAGCCCCACTCCCCTCCCAGAGCAGGGGAGAGAACCCAGGCATCCGGGCTCTCAGCCCCCCCGCCCCTCCCAATCGCCTAGACTGTGGAGCTGGTTCCCGGGGGAGGCATATGGAGGATTTGGGGGGTAATGTTGGGGAGTGAGGGGATGGGCTAGAATTATTTATCCCTTAGGTAATGGTAGATGTCTGAAATGGAGCAGTGTTTTGGGGGGCCAATGGGGAGTGGCTGACAGCCCCCCCTACCTTTTCCCCTCCAGCACTCCCCCTCCTGCGGGGGGGGGGCTCACCCCTTCTGAGCCCCCACCCACAGTTGATCTGCACTGGGAAGGCCTGGGGAGGGAGAGACAGTGGGGGCGGGGGGATAGTCCTTGATCCTAACCCTGCGCCCCTCGGGTTCTGTCTCCTGGCTGCAGGTTCGGCGCCGTGGGCCGAGCCTCCCACGGTGAGGGGCGTGGGGCTGTAGCCAGCAGGTAAGGAAGGGGGGTGGGGGGCTGTGAGAGGTCGGGGCAGGGGGGCAGGGAGCCCAGAGCGACGGGATGGGAACACCCCACCTTTCATCGCCCGGTTTCCTTCCTCGCCGTCCAGGTCATAGGACAACAGAAGCTAAACCCAACGCACACGCAGAGGGCGATGGCCGCCGAGACGCTCAATTTTGGACCGGAATGGTGAGCGTGGGGAGGTGGGGGGCGGGGCCCAGAGAATGGGGGACCTGGGGGGGCGGGGAGCTGGGGATCCCTAGAGAGATCCACAAACACTGGTTGGCCCTTAACTTCGGGGCAAAGAAGGTGATAATGAAGCTACTAGACCCCTCTCCCCAAACTGGGAGAGAACCCAGGAGTCCTGGCTCCCAGCCTCCCCTGCTCTAACCCACCAGTCCCTGCTGCCCTCCCAGAGCCAGGGAGAGAACCCAGGAATCCTGGCTCCCAGCCCCCCCTGCTCTAACCCACCAGCCCCCACCCCCCTCCCAGAGCCGGGGAGAGAACCCAGGAATCCTGGCTTCCCGCACCCCCTACTCGAGCTCATTCTAACTTAACCCTGAAGCCCCCCTTGAAGGCTCCTTGCGGCCTCGCTCTGTGTATGTGGCCGTGTGTCCGCGGAGCCTGGCCCCGTCGCTGACTCTCAGTCTGTCCTGCCCCCCCCAGGCTCCGCGCGCTGTCCAGTGGGGGCAGCGTGGCCTCCCCCCCGCCCTCTCCTGCCATGCCAAAGTACAAGCTCGCGGACTATCGCTACGGCAGAGAAGAGATGCTAGCACTTTATGTCAAAGAGAACAAGGTGCGTGTGTGTCCATGCCCCGAGTCTTCCCGCACGCCGGGCAACGGGGCGGACCAAGGCTGCCCAGTGGGGTGCTGCAGAGTATTGCTCCTGAGGGCATTCTGCGCCCAAAAAATTAAAAATTCTGCGCCCCCAGAAATCAAAATTCTGCGCACAATATTTTAAAAGTCTGCAAATTTTATTTGGCAAATAAATGTGGAGGCTCCAACCTGGCAGTGGTGAACACAGGCCACTGGCTGCACAGAGGTGGGAGATCCCCCTGCAGCTCCCACGCCTCCGGGACACGGACTCGGCGGTGAGGCTGCACCCGACCCTGCCACAGCACAAGGACCGGCCCGGCCCCAGAAACACCCCGGGGCCCTGCCCCTCTGTGTCAGGTGTGGGCAGGCAGGCTCAGCAAGGGGTTGAGAGGGTTCTGTGTGGGGCAGTCTGGGTGCGGGTGGCTCAGTGGGGGATCTGGATGCACAGGGGCTTGTTGGGGGTTCTGGGTGCAGTGGTAATGGGGCTCTGCAGGGGGGGTTCAGGTGAAGGTGGTTGGGGCTGAGTGTGTGTGGGGGGTCCAGATGCAGAGGGAGTGGGGCTCATCCGGGCGGGGGTTCTGAGTGTAGGGGGGTGATGAGGCTCACCGTGAGGGTCTGGCTATGAGGGGGTCTGGATGCACGGGGGTTGGGCAGACGGGGGAGCAGCTCCCTGTACAGGGATCCCTCCCCCTGCAGTTGAGGAGCGATGGGTGCGGGAAGTGGGGGGGTGGGGAGTTTGCAGAGCTTCCTGCAGCCGGGGGAGAAATCTGAGGTGGGTCTGACCCGGCCCCGGATGCCGTGCAGGGAAAGAGGAAGTCCCGTCCTCACCAGCCCAGCCAGGACTAGCAGCTGAGATGGCGCCACCAGCCGGGTCCCCAGTCCCGCCCCCTGCCCCACAGTGATTTGCCTCTCTGCCACCTGCCCTGGGCACCCGAAACGTACTGCTGGGGGTGTGTGTGTGTGTCACATGACCACTCTTGTGGCATCCCTTTGCTTCCCCGTCAAAGTCATTTTTCTGCAGGGAATTAAAGAAATCTGCAGGGGACATAAATTCTGCGCGTGCGCAGGGGTGCGAAATTCCCTCCGGAGTAAAATACACCAGGGCCCATGGGATGTCAGGTGACCAGGGGGCGGGGTTATGGCTGCCCAATGGGGTGACCTGGAATGGGTCGGGATGAGGGCACCTGGTGTGACCCTGGGGTCCCCCTTCGAGGTTCGCAGGGGTGTGCGTGCCCCAAGTGAAAGCCTTGTGTCTTGGGAGGGTGGGGGGGTGACCCTGCCGTTGGGGAGGGGGGGCAGGGGAAGTTCGCTCCCAGCCGCACCCCCCAGCTGCTGTCTCCACACCCGCCCAGGTCCCGGAGGAGCTCCAGGATAAGGAATTCGCTGCCATTCTCCAGGAAGAGCCACTGCAGCCGCTGGCCCTGGTCCCACTAACGGAGGAGGAGCAGGTAGTGGGGCGGGGGGGGGACACCCACTGCTTGTGCCGGGGCTGCACAAACCCACCCCCCCAACAGAGATTGGGGGGCTGCAGAGACAAAGCACCCCCTTATGACTGAGATCCCCAGGGGCAGTCCTGGGGATGGGGCATGGGGTCTTTTCCCTCTAGGGGGCGCCGGCTCCCACCCAGCCCCAGGGCAGGGACTGG